CTGCCGGACCTCAACCACGACCATCCACGCCCAGTGTTCCCTGCCGGGCCTCAACCACGACCATCCACGACCAGTGTTCCCTGCCGGACCTCAACCACGACCATCCGCGCCCAGTGTGCCCTGTCAGACCTCAACCACGACCATCTACGCCCAGTGTTCCCTGCCGGACCTCGACCACAAACACACAACCACAAACACACAATCACAAAGACCCAGCCACAACCACAACCACAACTACAAACACACAATCACAACCACTACCAGTCCCACAAACACAATCACAAACACACAGCCACAAACACACAAGCACAAACACAACCACAGCCACAACACAGCAAACAACCACAACCACAGCACACAACCACAGCACACAACCCGAGGACCCACAAGCAACATCGAGAACTACAATATTCACGACCATGGCAACATGCTCCTCACTATGGCATCAAGACAAATGATTGAAATGTCATGGTGGGGACCACTCGAAGTAAAGTAATGTCTTTGTTGTTTTTGTTGTTGTGGTGACGGTTGTTGTAGTATTGCGGCAAACAAAAACATCATAATGCCAAAAAAGTGTGGCAAACCGGGGAGCATTACTTGCACCACCACCGCCCCATGTATACCCACATGAACAAAAAACGACAGTCAACAATGCAACAGGCCACTACATACTGTAAATTACTAGATGGTCTGCAAAGGCCTCACCATTGCTTATGCAACCCCCTCAAAAGGTGGCGTTGTCTCTGCCCCTCCTAGAAGTTCAAAAACACTAAAAACGGACCAACCCAGACTTCAGTAGTGAAACAAGTCCAACAAGTCCAGCGACTTACGAAACCAACATTGACAAAAACCTTCAACCGTCTCCCTAACCTTGTCCCCTTGATGTTCCAGAGTCACAACATATGACGACGACTATGGCGGGCGGCTATTTTGTGTTTCTACCATCAACAACAACAAGAATAAGTATAAACAAACAGACTGAGACCAGGGGTGCATAAGGAGACATAGGCACAGCAGGTTGAAAATATGGTTAAAGCAAAATGATCTATGTCAACTACAATGAGCAGGAACCGAGTCAAAGGAAAACGGAACTAAACATGATGTGTATAGGTCTAAACTTGTTTCCTAGATTCATGTGTGAAAGAGGCAACTTCTAAAGAGGAGAACTCCTGTCTTCTCAATCTACCTCGGAGTCACGACGATGAAACATGGACTCAAAAGCTTGCACGCTCACAGTTCCAGACACCCCAAAAAATGCTCCAGTCCCAACAACTATGCGGCAGTCGCCCAGCTATTCATCCCAAACCCGCTCCTGCTTCGTGAGCGCTTGCCGCGGTTCGATCGGCTCCGGTGCCGGTCGAACTTGGGCGTGCCTTCGCCGGAGGTGGGACGCGGATGGGGGACGCGGAGGTGGAAGAGCGGCCGGTGCCTAGAATGCCCCCCCCAAACCGCCACACCAACTCTGGTGCCAACCTACTGGAAGATCTACTGCTTAAGCCGTCTATGTTATAGAAGTTATAAGTTCATTTACCGGAGTACAAGTTCACTTGTACTTCAGTATATTAACTTGTATTTCAATAAGTAGCAATAACTATAGTTATACTTATCATACTTATAGGTTTTTTCTATCTAAGTTACTCTAGAAAAAGTAAATTTTAAGTAATTTATAAATAGATTGAGTTTATTTAAAGGGAAGATATAAGTAACTTACAACTTAGTTATACAAAGTTATTTCTAGTTACTCATAGTTACAAAACCTATTTTTAAGAAAAAACGATCAGATTTTGGCAGCACCGAGGTGGCCGCGCAATCTACGTCCAGGTCGGATGAACAGCGGCGGGAAGTCTGAGTGACTTCCACATACGGTGGCATCTATTGCGCGCCAGAGGAAAAAAGAGCGCGGGAAGGCGTTGGGTTTTCCGAACCGTGGCCTTATACACAGATATAGAGGTTTTAATCTTTAGTGTAAAGTCTGCAACATTACATACAAGTTCATGTTTTTGAGGTGCACCAATGTCGGTCGATGTAGGACCGTCGATAGGACACCTCGGAATACACTATGTCGGCCAACGTCGGCCATACATAACTAGCTAGGGCCCGCGTTACAGAGCTAGCGTAACTGCATCAGGTGGTGATGTCGGCCAACGTCGGTCAATGTAGGACCGGTATCGGATAAAAACAAGCAAACGTAGACTTTTCAGCTGCAGGCTTTCGAGATTCGACCCTTCGCCGAGGCCTGAGGCGCGCTGTCTGGGTGGTTCCCTGCGCATAGCCGACGTTGTATAGTGTGGCGTTGGCCGACACACGCAGGACAAGTCGAAGACATTGTCGTGTCGGAACACACCCCGCTGCACGTCTGTGTGCGCAGGCTAAGTCGTTCGTTCTACGAGATGGGGCTCGGTATGGAACGTTAGTGACAGGAGAACCTGGCGCAACATGATGTCTTCTGCCACGTGGCTACGTGCCATGTGGTGGCGGTCGTCCGGGGGGACGCTCGAATGCATCCACTGAGCTGAACGCGTAGCCTGAACGTTTGCGTGCGCGAAAAAAAGGTTGCTTTTGACCGAGTTATAAACTACTTATAAATCACTTCTGAAACTTATATCTTATTTATATATAACTTATAAGTCATAGTTATAACTCTGTGTAACTTGATTCCTAAATGCCTTAACTATACTTATATCTTCTATAACCAAACCGTCTTAAGCAGTATGCTCCAGAAGTGCGTTTTTCTGTTTTTCCCCCCGAAGAAACTAGAATGGTTTCAGAGGTGAGAAATGGCACAAGGGCGATGGCTTCTGAAGTTGGTTCAAATGTTCAGTACGTATTCGAAGGGGATTCACAATTCTCATAGGCTATTGGTAGGAAAAAGTATCTTTTGGCCAGGAAGCCTGGCGGTCGCCAAACACCATGCTCAACTCTTTTTGAGTTTAAGGCTTCAAAAAACCAGCCATCAGCTGTGAAGGAAGAAAGCTCTGTCCGACCTTGCAGATCAGCCACCCATCAATGACCAGAGCTTCAATGGTAGTTTCATAGCCAAAACCTGGCAGAAAATCCTTGATGGAATGGTTAGGAATTCTATGTGTCTTTTGCTCAAGTGGCCACCTGGTTCTGCTGTCATGTGCTCTGAACCTACTCCGTCCCCAGGTACGGCGTGCTCCCCCCTTCCCGGCGCACCATGCGTCTTCGGGGCATCTCTGTAGCCTACAAGGCGCACACGACACCTACGTAGGACACCGAAAACACCTTGTGAGGTTGTCTTTGGGGATGGGGGCACTGGAGACTCCATTCCTATCTTCTCGGTTCTCAATTTGTCCCTACAACAACGTATAGTCAAGATGAATATGAATTTACCATCTATACCAGCTTTTCGGGTATGTCCAAGACAACTCTTGCTTCTAGATCACCAGCTGGTCCGGTCGAAAAACCAGCACAGGTTGGGATTCACTTGACCGGATCTGAAACCATCCCAAGGTCTGTTTTGGGTGGTGAAAACGTTTCACCGCAAAGCCACTGAAATGGGTTCGGTTGGTATTATAATCGGGGCACCCTCCACCAATGGGTTGTGGTATATTCTCCTTCTTCCAGGGGGTCCTACGGAGTCCCCTATTCTAAAGATCTGCACAACCAGAAGTTGTTCCCAACACCTGCGAAAGTAAATAACCAAACAAAAAAAATTCGGAGGGAATAAAGAACGACTTGGTGACCAAACACACAAGCACACCAATCGTTCAACTGGGATGAACACCTTGTGTTTGCCCTTCTTTTTTTCTCTTCAAGCCCTTTCATCCAGGCCCCGCTAGTTGCTGCTGCCTGGCGACCGGAGCTCCTTACGCCTGGAGACCTGCAACACTGGGCCAAGCTGGGAAAGCCCTGGAGCTTCTAAGTCTGTTGTTGTGTATAATGTTTTTTGCGTTTTCATCCCTAAAGCTAGAAACATTGATAGAGATTGCAATGAAAAACAACACAGTCTTGCATAGTTGGAAGGTGTGACAAGATAAACATAGAGGGAAGACTGAGCCAAGAGTGCAGGTTCGGGAGTACAGTTTCACTACGCTTCAAGAGAAAACTGACTTCACTCGCTTATCTTAGGTCCTGTCTGACAGGTGTTGATGAGGTTCCAAAGAACGTAAGGGGTGAAGTCCCTTTTAAGTCTGGTCTTTGGCGTGAACCACTGTTAAAACAACCCTCCGGGTCGGAAATAGAACCTGTGGCTGTGTGCATTTGCAAACATGAGAAAGTCTTCAAGCCACAAAAACCATGTAAAAATCCAACATGTTTTATGATGTTTTATGTCATTATTTGTCATGTATGCATAGAGCCTGACTGGGCGCCCTACAAAGCCATGTGTTTTGCATTGAAATCTATGTTTCTATCTAAAGGGCGTCATTTCGTGAGTGTTGTATATTGGAGAAAACTGTAGAAACCAATGGGAAGTGCAACGCAAAACTTGCACGTTTGTTGGCGGCCTTTTTCACATATCCTCGGACAGCTGCTTGCCGCAGTCTGACATCAGGTCCTTCGAGCCCGTGCGCATGAAGCGCCACTGCCAAGAACGAATCCTGCGCTCAATGCTGCAAGTTTTCGAACTCAACGATTTTGGCACATGTTCTTTCATGCGAGTCCACATTGCATCAATGCTCAATGCCGCCAGTGTGCACTCCTGACCGTTCTGCAAAACTCGCCAGTGTTACGTCATGGTTGACGCTGAAATGATGCATACTACACTCTCTAGCCATTCGAGGGTAACAAGGGGCGCCATCAGCGAGGTCGTCGTGTCCGGATTCGCTTTCCTCTTCTGAGCTCACACCCACGCACACATGGGCCAACCCTCGCAGGGCAGGAGCATCCAGAACTGGAATGGGAGTAGCGCGAGGTGGTGTGGTTGGCGCGCTCAAGTTCCATCGCAGAAGCTGGCTCAGGTTCCACGAGCAGAGAAAACCACGACTTCAAGCGAACACTCATCAGTCTGTCGCGCCAAAAACAGAAGAAGTCGTCCTCCAGTTGCGGCCGATTAACATAGATGGCCATCCTATGAGACAGGATCCTCATGGCAGCCTTGTGTGATCTGACAGTCGTCCAAGCCGAGACGACAAGTCAATCAACCACGGTAGACACCGTCGCAGTACGTCCCATGGCAGAAGACGCAAAGCGGAGTCTTCTAAGAGCACACTGTTGAGCACATTCACAGCTTCATCTTCCCGCTCACGTCTATGCAAGACCTGTGATGTCCCAACCAAGCTGGAAGGACAATAAAACATGATGTATTGGAGGGTGGAAAAACATACCTCAAAAGGCTTTTTTGAAAATCCAGCCGGCCACATCATGAAATTCATCGAGCTCAGTGAGAGAGAGGCTGTTGAACTGATGCAGGTTCTACTGATCACACGACCGAAACCAGCCCACCCCCGAACCACCCCCAAACCTCCCGTAGTGTCTTCTGTCGTCGCATCAACAACTCATCACCATCGTGTTGGATTGATCACACGAACGAAACCAGCCCACCCCCGAACCCCCCCAAACCTCCCGTAGTGCCTTCTGTCGTCACATCAACAACTCATCCTCCTCCTCCTCGTCCTCCTCCTCCTCCTCCTCCTCCTCCGCCTCCTCATCCTCATCCTCATCCTCATCCTCCTCATCCTCCTCCTCATCATCAGCAGCAGCAGCCGCAGCATCCTCATCCTCGTCATCATCATCATCATCATCATCATCATCATCATCATCATCATCATCATCATCATC